GATATTTATAGTTCAAAGGAGGATTTTTCTATAAATCTAATTGGGAAATTAGTTTGTCATTGTTTGTCTGTACTATGCAGATTTAAAGATAAGTGATTGTCAAATTAATCTTGAAGAAAGTAGTACCACAGTAGGGGTGAACATTTTACTCTGAAGGTAAATTAATCACTAAATTTTGTCATATATATATATATATATATATATATGCCTAATATGTAAATTATCCCCATGGGAGTTCCACCGGGAGACCAATCACTCGCTATGACATGCACTGACCACCAGGGGCCGTTGCATAACGAAGGAAAGCCCTGGCTGGCAGCTGGAAGGCCCTCTGTTGGGATTAATACAACTTTCCTAATTTATTTGGTATAAGGAAAATTAACTTGAAAGAAAAATAAACGGCTGTGAATGGACTAGTAAATCTTTCAGAAATAAAGGCAGTGATTCTCTCCAGATGAGATCTAAAAACATATGTAGGTTAATGGGCCCAGAATTAGAATACGTCGCCAAATGATTCGTAGTTGGTTCAAGAACTAATTGTTAGAAGTAAATTTTTAAAATGAAATGGCTAGAAGTTGCAGACTGAGAGATACTACATCAAATTCTCAGGGTCTAATTCTCAAATTGTGCCAGCCAGGCCTAGGGATCCTACCCGTGCACACCAGGCCTCTAGTGTAATATAAGAGTGAAAAAGCTTATGCATTCTCATCATAACATTACGTCCATAATAATAACAATGATGGATCTCCCAGTCATCTTGTAGAACAGATTTTTAGACAGTAGTACATCCTTACACCTGAGGAAATTTTGGTACTCTAGCTCACAAGGCAAAGTTATTTATGGCATTCTGGGAGCATGATGCTTGCTAAACGTAATGAAGTTATGCTAGGACAGCTGAAGGAGTGGACTTGTTTAACAGCAGCTGCAGAGTTCAGAGTCCAAGTGTATTGCATGTGTTGTAAATGTACTGTGAAATAGGTCTCTTGTTTGCATTATGGAATGAGTTTATAAAAATCTAATGCCAAGTGTTAGAACAGGTTTTCAGGTACTTACTACTTTTCACTAATTCTTTATATATGGAAGAAGAGAGTTGTATGCTTCATTTCTTCATTCTAGGCAAAGATATACCATATATCTTATTTTCCCATGACTTTTGGAGGAATTATTTAAGGGGAAATACACTGTATGAAGAAGTAGGTGTTTTGAGACAGAAATAGCAATTTTGCAACCAAAGGTGAATTTCAGATCATCAAAGTTTTACACTTTTGTTTATTAAAAAATCATACAATGCCCTAGCCGTTTGGCTTAGTGGAAGGAGCATCGGTCTGCGGACTGAAAGGTCCCGGGTTCGATTCTGGTCCGGGGCATGTACCTTGGTTGCGGGCACATCCCCAGTAGGGGGTGTGCAGGAGGCAGATGATAGATGTTTCTCTCTCATTGATGTTTCTAACTCTCTATCCCTCTCCCCTCCTCTCTGTAAAAAATCAATTAAAAAAATTAAAAAAATCACACAAAATGGCACTTATGAATAACTAATTAGTATCATTCTATTTAGAAGAATCCAAATCAACTATTTCTGCTCTCAGCAGCATATACAACTCCGAATTTATCAATAAGGAAATGAATCCTGAGAATACTTCGGCAGCTTTACCTGCCTACCTGTCCTTTTTATTTTTTCCTAGTCGAAAAAAAAAAAAAATCCCAGATTTTGAGCATAGTAAACATACTTTTTCACAGTGAAGGCATGGGTTTCCCCTGCAATACCACCATCCAAAGGTGATCATAGTTAAGATTTACATTTGAATTACTTCTCTGTCACTTACTAGGTTATATATTTTTGTCTTATTTTTTTTTACATGTAAAATGAGGCTAAAAAATAATTCTTACCCTGGCCTGGCTTTCACGGTGGTTAGAGTGTCAGCCCTCAAACCCAAGGGTCTCGGGTTCAATTTCCAGTCAAGAGTATGTACCTGGGTTGCAGATTCCATCCCCGGCCCCAGTTGGGGCACATGTGGGAGGCAACCAATTGATGTGTCTCTCTCACACTATCTCTCTTACACATGGTAGAAACTCAGAAATTTATTGGTTCTTAAGTAGTTGAAGAGATTCAATGATAGGGTAGACTCCCATCTGGAGAGGGTGAGTACAGGGAGGCAGGGTAGCATTAGTGTCTTATGCATGAGGTTTTGGAGCCAGACAGATCCAGTATGAATCCTTTCTCAACCTACTAGCTTTTTAATATTTGCATAAATTTATGCAAACTGAGTTACTTCTTTTGTAAAATGGAGATGATGATAACTAGTACCATATTTATTGTGAGGATTAGAGATACTTTATAAAAATACGCTGTATAATAAGTTCTTAGTAAATGATAGCTGTTAGAATATTACTGGAACCTAATATTTTCATGAAAGGTACTAGTAAGATAAACATGATTTTATTTTGAAATCATGTATCTCAAGTGAGAGGCCTAATATAGAAGCACTTTTAATAGAGAAAAGAAAACCGTATCTTGCTACCTAAGTATTACAGGCTGAAATTATAGATTCCAGAACAGTTTAGATAAATTTATGAGAAATGAAGTTCGATTAAAATATGTATAGTGCCTATGTACCTGGTACTCCCTGGGGAATGTGGATATCACATAGCTATAAAGCCTAGTGGGTTTATTACAAGATATGTGGGTATAGAATGTATCCCAGAATGACTCATCTTAGAGCTCTGGTGAGATGCTTCATAGCTCACAGATTTGATTTAGTGTGTTACCTCTGACCTTCCCCTTTCCTAAGGTACACATATGTAAACTTAATCTAGAAATCTAGAGATGCTGATGGTAAGGGAAGTTGGCTAATTCTATGAGTTCTTCACAGACTGTTCTTGATCTCTTTTCCTGGCCTTGTGCCTTTCACATATCAGGGCGTTACAGAATGGGTTATATTGTTGATAATTGAAGGCACACATGTGACTCAGACCTTTGACTTGTTGAAAGAGGTCAGAATGTGGTGTTAACCCAAATAAGGAAATAGGTTTCTATCAGGGTGGAAACATTCATCCTGTCTCCTTCTGCCTAGCCTGCATAACAAGAACTTGAGATCAGAAGAGCTGTGTTGTTATTTTAATCTTCAGTTGTATTAATTATAACCAAGTGAATTCTGTGGGGAAAAAATTCATTTTTGGAGATAAACCTTTGTTAATTTTATAAACTCCTCATAGAGTTGCTTTTTTGCTATATTTGCTAACTTGTCCCCTTGTGTTTTCCCTTTTGCCTACTAAAGACAATGTTACATTTTGCAAGATGTGTAAGAAGCTAAGTTAAATACTCCACTTTTTATTTTTGGAGATAAAGTGGTGTTGGTGGGGAAAAAATTCATTTTTGGAGATAAACCTTTGTTAATTTTATAAACTCCTCATAGAGTTGCTTTTTTGCTATATTTGCTAACTTGTCCCCTTGTGTTTTCCCTTTTGCCTACTAAAGACAATGTTACATTTTGCAAGATGTGTAAGAAGCTAAGTTAAATACTCCACTTTTTATTTTTGGAGATAAAGTGGTGTTGTTTATAAACTCCTCATAGAGTTGCTTTTTTGCTATATTTGCTAACTTGTCCCCTTGTGTTTTCCCTTTTGCCTACTAAAGACAATGTTACATTTTGCAAGATGTGTAAGAAGCTAAGTTAAATACTCCACTTTTTATTTTTGGAGATAAAGTGGTGTTGGAGATTTCGTGTGTGTGTGTGTGTGTGTGTGTGTGTGTGTGTGTGTGTGTGTGTATAGGGTAGGTCAAAAGTAGGTTTATAGTCATTTGTATGGAAAAATACAATAAATAATAGTACAAGAATAAACTATTTCCAGTATTCACAAATGTAAACCTAGTTTTGCCCCATCCTGTGTGTTGTTTATAAAGGAAAACCTACATTTTCATTGCCTTGAGATTGAAAGGAATATTTATTGCGTAATAGGTTAATAAGGTTTCTGTTGAAATTTTCTATTTGCATAGAAATTTATAAAGGTTAAAATGCTTTTGAACATTTAATATTGTCCCAAATAAAAAATAAATACTTTGAGTTTTATTGAGTTAACTGGCCTAATTCTTAGGGACTAAAGAAATCTGAATTTAACTGAAAATAGTTATTTTAAGCTTGGCAATTAGAGGTGTTTTTGGTTTTTATGAAATTGTATACCTTCTTTGGCCACTGAAAGTGAATTGTATAAAGTGTCTAATATGGTCATTTTATCTTTCAAAATTATAAACCTTACATAGTTGACAAAAATTAGAAGCATTTGGATTGAACTTTTGATTTAGTATTTTAGGTAACTCTTTTTTAATCCTGATAAAATACAGGACAGATATAAGCATCTCTGAAATCCCGGATGATCCACAGTCATCAATTTGAGTGTCAAACAAACCTTTTATCTGCACTATTTGCTAATTAATAAAATAGACTAATCTCAGCTTAATCCTTGGCTGAGGGGATTGAAAAGCAATTAAGAAGGAGTATGGTGCTAAATACAAAGAATCTTAAGTAGCAAATGTTTTCTTTGTATTGGTCATTTTATATTCAGTAGACACACACTCACAAATGTGTTTATTCTTTCTATAGGGATTTTATATTATTTTGATTCTGTGCTTATCTTAAAATCTGTCTTTAAAGTACAGTGTTTCTGAGCAACCCACTTGGGCTCCTTTCCTCTCTGCTAAAGGGAGTCTGTCTATCAATAAACTGCTTTTGCTAAAAATAAATAAAGTACATTTATTTATTTAAAATAAATAAAATAAGTTTCTTACTTTTTCAAAAAAGGAATAAAGAACTGATATACATACCTTAAGTTTTCATGGTTTCTAATGAAATTTTTAGATAATTCTTCTCTTTGAAGAATTATGGTGATTTAGAGTTAATTAGCAAATACTTTTGTTAGTTGAATGATGTGTGTATCAATGTGCTTACTATAGAAGGGAATATCAGAAATGTCGCTTTTTCTAAGAAAATTGATACTAATTTTGATTTAAAATTTTTATTGCAGCTAGAACGAGTAAATCTGTCTGCAGCTCAGACACTGAGAGCAGCTTTCATTAAGGTGAGGCACAGGTACCTTATTGTGATTATTAGAATGTATGTTATACATAAATCTGAATACCAGCTGATAATTGCCAGGTTATTTCCTAGTAACAACCCTTTTAACTATCTTGTTCCTGTTTTAGTGTACACTGTAAAGATTAATACACTCCCAAAAAGTGAACTGAAACAAGTGCTCTTTCCTGAAAATTCGTCCTTTCACTTGGTGCTTTTGAAACTGACTGGAGTATTCTCTCTTTAACTTTGGAGTTGATTTTTAAATTATTTTTAAAACCTTTTATAAAATTATAACTCAAAAGGATTCATATTATTAAATTTTAGAATATAAGTATAAAACAATGTTTTGAGCATGAAAATGAGACCTGTGTGTACATCATATTAAGTACTCTTTGAGAATATACAGCTAAGTCACTCAGCATGAATTTTTCTGTTGTTTCTAGACCTGAGATTTTCAATTGATAATCACTAGCCATCTGTCACTGTTGAGGACTTAAAATATGGCTAGTTCCAATTTAATTGTACTGTACATATAAAATACATTCCAGATTTCGAAGACTTAATACAAAATAATGTAAAATAACTGAGTACTAAGTAATTTATATTGATTACATGTTGAAATGAATGTTTTAGATGTACTCTTAAGATAATTACATTTTTTATATATTTTTAAAAAATACATATTTATTGGTTTCAGAGAGGAAGGAAGAGGGAGAGAGATAGAAACATCAATGATGAGAGAGTCATTGATCAGCTGCCTTCTGCATGCCCCATCCTGGGGATCGAGCCCGCAACCTGGGCATGTGCTCTTGATGGGAATCGAACCTGGGACCCTTCAATCTGTATGCCTCCAATGCTCCTCCACTGAGCCAAACTAGCTAGGGCCAACTTTGACTTTAAAAAGGGCAAACAGCCGAAACCGGTTTGGCTCAGTGGATAGAGTGTAGGACTGCAGACTGAAGGGTCCCATCTGGTTTGAAGGGCACATGCCCAGTTGCAGGCTCTATCCCCAGTAGGGGGTGCGCAGGAGGCAGC